GATGGCATCCACAGCCATCCAGTTATCCAAGGCGGAAACTAGGGGGAGTCAACTCCAACTCCTCTCTCTCTCTCTCTTTCAGCCCTATTTTCGATTAGTGGCCAAGTCCTCTTTAAGTGTACCCCTACTCATTTTTAAAATCTCTTACTCTCTTTCTAATCCTGCCTGAATGTCTTCGCACTTGTCTCTCTGCCTTAAACATTCTTTCTCCATTTTCACAAAGCTGGCTTCTCATCATTCAGATCTTAGCTCCAATGTCATCTTTTTGGTGATACTCCTTTCAATCCATTCTATCCAGAACTGCGCCCCAGCCTCACAATCTCATTACCCTGTCTTACTATCTTATTAGCACTACACTACTTGATAACTTATTTCTATTCCTCCCTTTCTTTGTACTTCTTCTTCAGTAGAATCTAAGCTCCGTAAGTGCAGGGACCTTATCTGTCTTGTTTACCCCTATCTAGACACTGGGGATACGACCAGTAAAATCACTCTTTATTGTACTTGTCTGGCAAAAATTCAACCGTGGCAAAATGTAATTCTCTAACTCTTTCCCACTTACCCAACAGTATCATGCTAATTGGCCTAATGATGATAAATCTCAAGCGATCCTTATTGCTGCTTGCCAATGTTACCGTGTTTCTCTAGTCAATTCACTGTCCACTCCCCTCGCAATTATCCTGTACCTTTCCCTCCTTAAACCTCTAAAACCCCCTTCTTTCTCTTCAAGCTCATCTGATGACGTTGCTTTTTTATTTCACCTGGAAAATAGCAACAACTGGGAGAGATCTTCCATGTGTTCGCACCACCACATCTGTCTATATCTGGTGCCTTCTGCATCATCATCTGTTTTGGATGAGCTGTCTATGCCAGTCCTTCTACGTGTATTAGATCCCTCCTCCTTCACTCAGGGACATCACTCTTATTTGATCAGTTTTTCTCTTTTTTTTTGAGACGGAGTTTCGCTCTTGTTACCCAGGCTGGAGTGCAATGGTGCGATCTCGGCTCACTGCAACCTCTGCCTCTGCCTCCTGGGTTCAGGCAATTCTCCTGCCTCAGCCTCCTGAGTAGTTGGGATTACAGGCACGTGCCACCACGCTCAGCTAACGTTTTGCATTTTTAGTAGAGACGGGGCTTCACCATGTTGACCAGGATGGTCTCAATCCCTTGACCTCGTGATCTACCTGCCTCGGCCTCCCAAAGTGCTGGGATTACAGGCTTGAGCCACCGCGCCCGGCCAGATCAGTTTTTCTCTTTACTGGATCATTCCTATCAGTATTCAACATGCTTGACTATCCCCTATCAGTTACTACTTCCAGTTTTCTGCTCCTTTTTTTCCCCTGAAAAACATTTTTTTCTTTCCTTTGGAGACAGGGTCTTACTCTGGAGTGCAGTAGTGTGATTACAGCTCTCCGCAGCCTCGGTTTCCCAGGCTCAGGTGATTCTCCTACCTCAGTCTCCCAAGTAGCTGGGACTATAGATGCATGCCACCATGCTTGGCTAAATTGTTGTATTTTTACAAAAATTTAGAGATGGGATTTTGCCATGTTACTCGGGCTGGGTCTCAAACTCCTGGGCTCAAGTGATCCACCTGCCTCAGCCTCCCAAAGTGCTGGGAGTACAAGCATGAGCCATCACACCAAGCCAGCAAAACCCTTAAAAGAGGTATGAGACATCCTGTCTTTCTTTCCTCCCATTCTATTTTTCAATCTACTACAATCAGGCTTTTGACTCCACCAATACATAGAAATTGTTCTTGTCAACATCATCAGTGACCATCATACGAGCTACTCTAGTGGTTATTTCTCTACTCCACCTCTCAGCTGCATTTGACACAGACAACCACTCTTGTTGAAATTGCTCTTCATTTGTCCTCAGGAATACCGTGCTCTTAGCTCTCATTCTGTGCCACTGGCTACTCTTCTTAGTCCTTTCTGCTGCTTCCACCTCTTCTCAACATCTAAATATTAGCTGTCCAAGTTTTAGTCTTTTACAGCTGCAGTCGTCCCCTAGGGGGTCCCATCCAGACCCAAAGTTTCAGTCTCACCCTAAAATTATGACTTCCATATTTATACGTTCAGTTCTGACCTCTTCTCTGAATGCCAGACTTGTTTATCCAACCATCTATTCACAATTTCTACTTGGATGTTGAATAACCATTTCATACTACCTCATCCAAAAATGAATTCTTTTTTTTTCTTAAAAAAGAACGCTGTATGTTTCCCAAATCTTCTCATTCTCAATCTTCCTCTCTCCATAAGGCATCTTCATTCCACCGGTTGCTCGGCCCACATCACTGAAACCATCTTTTGCTTTTCCATTTCTTCCAGACGCTCAATCAGTGAATCCTATCAGCTCTATCCTTTCAATATATCTAGTTTCAGATCACTACTCGCCACTCCACTATCACTATGCTGGCCCCAAAACTATCAACTCTTGCCCAGACTACTGCGATAGTTTCCAAACTGGCCTCCTCGTTTCCATCCTGCTCATCTATAGATCTTTTCACACAGTAACCAGAGCGAAACTTCTATGAGTCACCTCACTGGCAGACCTGGAGTCTCTCAGCCACCTCTCTTAGCTGTATTTTAGGTATACCTAAATAGTATACCAACAGTCTACTTAGCTTATAGCTAGGACTCTATCATCTGGTATTCTGCTACAACAAATGTACTTTAAGTGAAAATAATAAACAGGCTTGTATTTAAGCGGCAAGTGGTTGATATGGCTGCTTTAGTCGATAAGTCTACTGGTAGAATCTAGAGGGGAGGAAATAAATCAAACATGAAGACTAAGATGCAAAAACCACTCATGAGCAGCCACATAGGACAGAGGTCCCTCTGAAGAAGCCACCAAAGGATGTAAATCTGTCTTCAGATTTGCTTTAACACCTAAGCAGGAAAGCTGCTGTACAAAATTACAACCGCCCCATTATGTGACTCTGTTTTACTGTTAGCACGAATCCTGATTTTTGTTTATTGCTTGTCTCCTTCTTTTAAAATATAAGCTACATGACATTAGTGATCTCTATCATAACCACGTACTTTGTGCCAAGCACTCTTTATGAATACCATGGTCTTTATGGATACCATAAAGAGTGCTTGGCACTGATACCATAAAGAGTGCTTGGCACATAGTATGTGGTTATGATAGGTATCAGTACCATAAAGAGTGCTTGGCACAAAGAACGTGGTTCTGTCAGTATTTACAGATGACTCAAGACACAAAAATAGCTTTATAAAACAGTGCTTTGCTTGAGTTTTTATGAATAAACCAATCTGAAGTCATCCCTTTTGTGGCTCAGAACGAATTTTTCCCTTTTACCTTAGGGGAAGATGAGAATAAGGGAGAATGCAAATTTAACATGAGTTTATCGAAGAAGGAAGCACCAAGATTATTAACCTAAATGAGAATACTATTCTAATGACATTAGCCCGAGAATAATATAGTTCCTGTTCCAGTATTGTCAATTACCATTCCAAGTCACAGTATCTTCATTTATAATGTGGGGACAATTATAATACCTAATTATTGGTTATTATGAGAGTTAAATAAGAAAATATACTTAAAGCTCTTAGGATACCACCTAGAACTTCATAAACAAATGCACCTATTTTGTTATTATCATCTTTATATTAATGGTGCATTACATCATAAATCCACTCAAACCTGATGCTGAGTCACGGTGACCCCTAACTGAACACACTGCATCAATCTGCTCCCCGTAATGCACTCGAGATACCCACTGCAGCAATGACGTCTTTGGTGATTTTAATTTACTACTATTCACAGGTTCCCAATTTTGGCCTACAGGTCACAGGGAATAAGAAAGGGATTTCGGCCGGGCGCGGTGGCTCACGCCTGTAATCCCAGCACTTTGGGAGGCCGAGGCGGGTGGATCGCGAAGTCAAGAAGTCGAGACCATCCTGGCCAACATGGTGAAACCCCGTGTCTACTAAAAATACAAAAAATTAGCTGGGCGTTTGGCACGCGCCTGTGGTCCCAGCTACTCGGGAGGCTGAGGCGGAAGAATCGCTAGAACCCGGGAGGCGGAGGTTGCAGTGAGCCGAGACTGCGCCACTGTGCTCCAGCCTGGCGACACAGCAAGACTCCGTTTCAAAAAAAAAAAAAAGAAAGAAAAAGAAGAAAGGGATTTCACGGTCTAAACCAGTTTACCACTATGTAAGCCCAACAAGCACGGTTTGACCTGTCGTGAATCACTGGAGCGCACCGACAAAGTCTTACCCACTTCTGCAAGCCTCATGGTCCAGCGGAGTATCTGACAAGTGACAGTCGATGTTGAGTAAATAATAAATGCATGATGAGCACATGCCACCTCCGTGACGGTCAGTTCAGGCAATTGGATGCCTAGCGCTTCAGAAGCACACCTGGTGAGAACCGGGTGGCCCTTCCACGCACCGCGCTGCAAGAACTGCCAGGGCCGGAGGCTAACTGCACCATCTCCGCTGCAGACATTGACGCAGGACGCGCCCTCTGGCGGCGCCTCGCTCGCAGGCGGGTCCCAGCGCGCCCCCGCCCGCCCCGCGCGCCGCCGCCCGCCCCGCGCGCCGCCGCCCGCCC